TGCCTATTTTGCAAAGGGAATATATTTTACGATAGTCTTTCTCATGAATCTGCCTCTCTGAATTCTGGTACCTACAGACCTGCATCATAAAAAATTACGGTAATGACAAGCCTCTGAGCATCCCACTTCCCGTGATCTGCTGGTTGAGGTTTGCTTGTATCAATTGCCTTTTATACTGTGTAAAGGATATCTGATCTGACTGGCAGGAGGAGGGATGTGCAGAATAGCTGCTCACGCTGCAAAAACCTGTGTCAATTTGCTGTGCTCGATGCGCAGAAGCCTAATAAGAACTAACGCTGCAGTGGACAGTCTGTCTTGGATATTCCTGCGTTGATCAGGAATCCTTTCATTTTGGGAGGAGATTTTCAAATATTATTAGAGGTTTTCATGTTTCTTACTAATGGACCTCTGCAGTTGGCCCTCATGGGAAATCTGCCAGAGAACTGCGAAATTGGTAGGATTGGACAATAAACTCATAGAGCTGTTGCAGGCCCATGCTGAGCTCCACGAGGCAAGGCTCACAAAACCCGGATGCTGCCGGGCTGCGTGTAACACTCCGGGCAGAGAGAGGCCTGTGGGCTCGGACTTGCTTCGGAAGGTTATTTTTTCCAAAGTGCTCTTTGGTCTTGACACTGATGTGTGTTTGTCAGGCAGGGCAATAGTGTCTGACAGAGGGTAGGCCTAGTTTTTTTTACTGAAGTGATAAATGTGAGAAATTATTAGTCATATCCGGAGCTGGAAAGTAAAAGGTAAGAATTAATAGTAGTAGGTGTGTTATTAGGGTTTAGCTCAAATGAGCCTTTTGGCAGTAAGTGGTTGGTTTGAATATCTCTGAAGCTTGAGGCTGACACCCAGGTGATGACTCCATGAGGAAGGAAAACGAGCTTGGTCTCAGCCCTGCTCCTGGTGGCAAGTGAGGTATCGGGTTGTTGAAGGTGTTTTAGAGAAATAATTTAGCTAACTGCTTTGCAGGACCTGCCTAATTTCTGAAGGCGGTGAAAATCCCGGCCTGCGCACACAGGTGCCGCAGGATTGGGAACCTGGGCTCTGCTCTGTACTCACTGACTCAGTGTCGTGGTGGCACGCGGCCTGTCGGTGCCGGCCTGAGGGGCACTCGTGTTGCTGGGTTTGCCCATGTTGTCCTGAAGCAGATCAACTAGCTCAGCCTCTAAAGCTGTCACCCAGCTTCCCTTCCTGCGTTTAAAAATTGTTAGAAGAAATAAATAGTACAAACTGTTTTGGGGGACGTATTGAGGGATAAACCATCCTTGTGGCATCGCGCTAGAGTTTTGCATGGAAGTGCATATCCCGAGCGCTAGTGAGCGATCCCTTTGGGGCCTGCGCGAGCCCAGATGGTGACTCCTCCAAGTGATTATTTTTCTGCGTTAAGCCTTTCCAGGAATTCGAGTGTGGGCAGGCTGCCAGCGGACACTGGCTATGCAGACACTTCAGCAATGTTCCGTGTGCACTCGCTACCAGAGATGCCGAAGTCCAGCTGCTGACCCCGATCTCTTAGTCCTCTTTCCTTTCTCAGGCTGAACTGCACCTGCGGTTTGCCCATCTTGCAAATCATGATCCAAGGCTCTGAAGTTAAATGGAAGGAGGACTTGGGGTCGGAGAAGTGATGTGGATCCAAAAAAAGAGGAGTGCAAATAATCAGCAGCGCGCCCCACCGCGGAGGGCAGGCAGAGCGGGAATGTCTTTCTAGGAGAGCAGGGGAAGAACAATTTAACTCTGTCTTACACCTCCCGCCTTCGAGACACTCTATTTGGCTTTCCCCCCTTCCAGTTTTCCAAAGCAAAATCATTCCCTTCTGTCCTTGCTGTTGCTGCTGCTCAAGTGATGCTCAAAACTGCAGAGGCAGAAGTGGGGCTTGCTGCACAGCGGGCAGGTGACCTGCGGTGCTGCAAATCCAGCCCCGTGCCTGCTGGCAGTCATAGTGCGGCTGGGCTTCTGAAGAGTTCGTGTCTAGTCCCTCGCCTCCCTCAAGCTTGCTCCTTCCTCCCTCGTGGTCTAGAGGACTTGGGGAAGCTCTTTCGTTACCGATGCTGATGAAGACAGTCCTATGAAAGATTCACCCAGGAAACAAGCAGGCCAAATGCTGTGGGCAGCCCATGAAACTTGCCTGTTTTCAGAGTGCGTTGGAGTCTCAAGCCCTGCACCAGGTTGAACAAAAAAACTTGCTGAGCTCCAGCACTTTTCAGACGACTTGGGAGTCTTTCATGATTTTGCCTCTTCAGTCAGAAATTCCTGGTTTAACCTAAATTCAGTGCAAAAGAGTAAGCATTTGGCATTTTTGAAGGATGTTAGCTTTAATTTTGGAGGCCACTCAAAACTCAGTAGCTCGATCCTGTTTAGCAGGCAAAACCCTTGCTTCAGCCCCTGCAAAGTAAAAGCCCGCCAAGTTTCATATGGATTCGTTCTAGTAATTTTGGTGTGGAAAAGCTGAATCCAGGCTCTTCAGGCTTTTGGGCCGACGAGTTTCGGGAATCTGGTTTACCCATTAGAGCAAAATATGTTGGCCCTATCCCGTCCCATGTACAAGCCGCTTTAAACATGTGGCATATTCGGGCCTGGCATTTTGAGCCGTCTTGTTACACAAGCAGAGGGGCCAGCGCCCTGCTGCCAGTCTGAAAGCAGATTTTTCCTCTCTGGAGCGCTTAGAGGGTCCAGAAGGGCCCTCATCTGCCAGCCCGCCGAGCTGGTCTGGCCGGAGCTCCCTATGGGAAGCGGAGCAATACAGAAGGAGCGGGTGAAAGGCACCCGACGCAGCGTCTCCGTGCAGCTTCCTCCGCCGGGAGCTGCTGACTTCTGTGCCAGAGCTCCCTGCCCGGCGTGGAGGACTACAGTGAGCTAAAGTTAACCAAGGATGACTGCGCAAATGTAAGCTTGGCGGTTTTATTTTTAGTGGAACTTAAAAATAAAAATCTATAAGTCATATGTAATATAATAATTTTAGCTGTTGCCAGGACACACTGAGCAACTGTTTGGAGGAGGGGAAAGACCGTTGCAAATCCCAGGGCTCTGGTCTCCCAGTTGCCCTCATCCGCCTGGAGCTGCAGCGCCAGCTCCCGGTGATGCTCCCTGGCATCGCCCGAGCCCCAAATAAGTCACCTGAGGATTTTCTTTTCAGAAGTAAGTGTTAAAAAGTCACCAGCCCGTGTTGGAGCCCGCGGCTCCCTGTCAGCCCGGCCACTGCCTCCCTGTGAGCCGTGTTTTTGCCTGCGGCTCGACACAAAATCGCAGGTCTTCTGAGCAGCCTTTCCCAAACCTACAAATACTTTGCGAGCTGGTTTCTCCGCCGAGGTCAGGCCGGTGCTAATCCCTTGCAGCTGTGGAGCTATCGCGGGAAGAAACAACAAACATTGGGTTTCTGGGGGCTTGGCAGTTATTGGCGTTTGGTGACTGTTTATCAAGTTTTAAACAATGGAATAATTAACTTAGAACAGATTGTATCAGGCCATTAGGAGCGTCACACGCTTCTCGTGGGATGATAACAGCTTGGAGGGCCATAAATGTAAGGAATGCTTGAAAACTGGGTTTAATCTGAGTCAACTGTGTCTTCAAAGTGCTGCGTACGCAGAGAAACGTGAGGCTTATTGTTCGTTAGAGCCAAGGCAGTAGGAAAGAGATCCCCCAAAGGAATATTATTTGCCATAAGATAACTATCATTACTGCTGCTCAGCATTCGCTTTAAAGTCAGTTATATCCTATTTCCATCTTCTTTCTCATCCACAGTAATTCTTTCTCTCTTCATTTCCCTTTCATATAATCAATGCTTTTCTTGTTGGAATGCCTATGGAGTGAGATGTGAGATTTCCAAGCAGCCTTTCCTGCGTATCTTTCCTTCCCCACCAGAAAAAGACAGAAATTCAGATACAAGGAGGTGACTGGATGGGGTGAGGAGAGCCTCTGTTCTGTAAAGTTTAATTGGGAAAGAAGGCAAAGCAGGAGTTGGTGGTTTCAGGCAGGTGGGGAAAGGCTGTCAGTCTCTTTTGGCTTGTTTTGGTTTTAGAGCGTGGTGTGATATGGTTGGGATATTTTCCTTAGCAGATAGTGAAGGAATTAGGAAGGCTCTGTTCCCAGCCTCGAGGGTGGCTGCAGTAACCTCGCCGTGTGATGCAGAGCAGGGGGGAGCCTGCTTCGCTCCAGCACGTCGTAAAATCACGAGCTTTTGGGATCGTCAGGGTTCCCGCGTTGTGCTGGGGAGATGGGCGCGTTTTCCAGCGTCGAGTCTTGCCTGCTCGCTTAGGTGTGAGCTATCAATAGCAGGGGGAGTTCAAAGCACTAAAAAAAAAGCACATTAAAAACCTGGCGCAGGGCCATCTCTGGCTTTGTGCTGCTGCTGTAAATAGCTTGCTTAGCTGAGGCTTATTGCCAGGCTAGTAGATGAAGGGCACGTGTGCCGGGAGCAAGCCGCGGCACGAGGCGAGAGCAGGAGGCAACTGCTGCGTCTGCAGCCCCGCGCGGCCGCCCGGCGGTGACGCGGCCGCGTAGGAGCTCGGGGGTGGCACCTTCCCCCCGCGCCGCTAATAGCTGCCTGTTGCTAACGTAAATATTTTGCCTGCAGGGGCTTCTTGAGGGCTCGCCGTGCGGGAGGCCGTGCCGTGATGCCGTGCCGCAGGACACGCTGTCGTGGCAGGGCGAGCAGGGAGCGCGGCAGAGCGGGCCGGCCTCCTGCGAAACCTGCTGCATTTTCCCAGGGGAAGGAGGAAAACAAGCCTGCAGGGCGCTAGGGTAGGAGTGACCGCTGTTACACCAAGGCGTTCTGGCTGGAGAGCCGCTGGTTTGCCTCAGGTTTTGCTTGTTCCCCTGAGGCGTTTGCGGGCGTACCTGGGGTTTTAGCTGCAGGTTGCTCCTTGAGACGAGAGTGGCAGTGCAGAACAGATTTTGCTTTTGCAGAGGGTTTTTTTTCCTTGCTGGTTGTTTCGGAGGCGCTCGCTCGTGGGGCTCCGTTTCCCAGCGCTGACGCTGTGATTTCCCCCCCGCTGTCGTTGCAGAATCCAGAGGAGCTGCCGGAGGATCGTGCTCACGGGGAGATGATTCCTCATGAAGTCACTGGATCCCTTTCAGATATCAAATGTGACTTTCCATTTATCAGACTGAAACCAGAGGCAGCCAGACAGTGAAGCAAGCACAGTGGAGGGGGGACGGCGAAAGATGAAATCCAACCAAGAGCGGAGCAATGAATGCCTGCCGCCCAAGAAGCGAGAAATCCCGGCCACCAGCCTTCCTTCGGAGGTGAAGCCAGTCCTGCCGAACGAGAACCACCGTGCCGATAACCTGGCATGGCTGCCCAGCACCCCCAGCGGCCCGGGCGGCCTGGCGGGCAGGCACCGGCCTGCGGGCACCGCGGTGGAGGTGGGTTTACAGCAGGGTTTGCACAAGTCACTGTCTGCGGGAATGGACTACTCGCCGCCGAGCGCGCCCAGGTCCGTTCCAGCCTCCACGACCCTTCCCACGGTGTACTCGCCCGCGCTCTCGCAGTCGGGGACGCCGGTGTCCCCCGTGCAGTACACACACCTGCAGCACACTTTCCAGTTCGTCGGGCCCCAGTACAGTGGACCATATGCCGGATTCATCCCCTCGCAGCTGATTTCCCCAACAGCCAATTCTGCAACTGGTGCCGTGGCGGCGGCCACGGCTGTTGCAACCACTCCATCCCAGCGCTCCCAGCTGGAGGCTTATTCCACCCTGCTGGCCAGCATGAGCGGCCTAAGCCAGCAGGGCCACAAAGTGGAGCCGCACCTGGTTAGGACACCTGGACTGATCGCCGCAGGGTCTCCTCCGCCCACCCAGCAAAACCAGTACGTGCACATTTCCAGCTCTCCCCAGAGCGCCGTCAGAAACGTGTCTCCTCCCACCATCCCGGTCCCTCTGCATCCCCATCAGACAGTGATACCACACACACTCACCCTCGGCCCTTCCTCCCAAGTGGTGGTGCAGTACACCGACTCCGGGGGCCACTTTGTCACACGGGACCCCATCAAGAAGGCCGAGAGCAGCCGGCTTCAGGCGCTGCAGGCCAAGGAGGTGCTGAACGGGGAGATAGAGAAGAGCCGGCGGTACGGCATTTCCCCTTCGGCCGACTTGGGCCTAGTCAAAGCAGGCAATAAACCAGCTCCCCACCATTACGAGGCCAGGCACGTGGTGGTCCACTCGAACCCTGCCGAGTACAGCACGCGGGATTCCTCAGGCGTCCGGGCCTCTGTCATGGTGGTACCCAACAGCAACACACCAACCGCAGACCTGGAGGTGCAGCAGGCCACCAACCGAGAGACCTCTCCCTCAACCCTCAACGACAAGGGAAGCTTGCACTTAGGAAAGCCAGCGCACCGGTCCTATGCTTTATCTCCACAACAGACTTTGGGCCACGAGGGGGTGAAAGCAGTTGCCACACTGTCCCCTCACACCGTCATTCAGACAACCCACAGCGCCTCTGAGCAACTCCCCGTCGGGCTGCCGGCCACGGCCTTCTACGCCGGGACCCAGCCGCCGGTAATCGGCTACTTGAGCAGCCAGCAGCAAGCGATTGGGTACCCTGGAAACCTGCCACAGCACCTGGTGATCCCTGGCACGCAACCCCTGCTGATACCAGTCGGCAATGCAGATGTTGAGCCGTCAGGAGTAGCACCTGCAATAGTCACTTCATCTCCCCAGTTTGCAGCAGTGCCTCACACGTTTGTCACTACCGCCATTCCCAAGAGCGAGAACTTCAGCGCTGAGTCCCTCACAACGCAGCCCGCCTACCAGGCAACCATGGTGCAGGCCCAAATCCACCTCCCCGTGGTGCAATCCATCGCTTCCCCCGCCGCGGCTCCTCCCACGCTGCCTCCGTACTTCATGAAAGGGTCGATCATTCAGCTGGCCAACGGGGAGCTGAAGAAAGTAGAGGACTTAAAAACAGAAGACTTTATACAGAGCGCGGAAATTAGCAATGACCTGAAAATAGACTCCAGCACTGTGGAGAGGATTGAAGACAGCCATAACCCAGGCATTGCTGTGATACAGTTTGCTGTTGGAGAGCATCGAGCACAGGTAATAAAACGTGGGAGTTGTGGGTGGAGGAACTCAGGTGCACGTCTTGGTACCGAGTGGTTTGCCAGCAGGTCTGTTTGGGTTTGTGGGTGTGTTAGTTTTTCACCATTCACACTTGTCCGTGAGACTGACATGTTTGGTCCAAAAATCCTCCAGTCTGCAGTGCCAGTGGAGCCACCAGAGACCCACCTATGATAAATGTAGCCTCCGGGTTGTGATAGGAGGTCTTCCTTGGGGACCAGACCAGCCTCTCTTCCTGTGCCCAGGTTAAACTGCTGCAAGGCTGTGCTCAGTGCCCTCCACCACAGTCCCTGCACTGCAGCCAGGGGAACTGTCTGTGCCCTCGCATGGGGTGGTTCACTCGGCAAACCTCAGTCGTATTGCAGGACTTGAGGCAATATCACTCTTGCCTGCACTGCGATGGCACCTCGAGACTCCAGCCTGGTGCTGTTCAGCACTGTAGAATCATGGAATGGAACTAAAAAGAAAAAAAAAAGTTCTGGCATCATGCAAAAAAAATCTGAGATGAAGGGGGAAGCTGAGACCCTGGGCAACAGAGAAATTTGGGGAAAGTCACTTAGCATGTCGTTGCCCAGGGCCCAGGCTAGGAGACAGATCTTTAAGTCTGGCACCCCTTGGCCTATCCAAGGGTGTTCAGTGCCTGATTAGGATTTTACATTTTGGTATAAATCCCAGTGTGCTTTACAGTGAGAGAATCCACAGAAAGAATTAAATTATCTTAGTGCTCTTTATTCAGATATGAAATAACTTGGTTTAGGCAGTAGGGGAGGATATATTTTGCATTCTAATTGGTGATTTTTGCCTTCTCCTCCAGAAAGCTTGGATTAAGTCCAGCTCAAATCCTACCCTTGAGAGATAGGTAGGCCAAAAGGCTGTGAATTTCCATGGCTTGAAAACTTGGAGTTGTCTTGGAAGGCTTTCACTCACACGTGTAAGTTCCTGAGACACGCTACACAGAGTTTTATTCAGGTTTCAGTTAGGTGTAAACACAGCGGGGCTCTCACACCGTGTGTTTAGGGGCAATTTTAAAAGAAAAAAACATCAAGACAGCTACATATCCTGTGTTTGTGGACTTTGTTTCTCATTGGTTTGCCAAGAATATACTAAAAAGCTTTATCTTGATACTGTCCCTTACCTCAGCAATTTACATTCTACTGTGTTGAAGCTGGGAATAGATTAGATACGCTAGGTAGCAGTTTGGTTCATAAAGGTACTTGTTTTTAAAAATCTTGATGCAAATGCTTTTGGTTTGGTTTGAAACAGGTGTGCTGCAAATTACAGCTCTGGAGAGAGGAACTAGAATTTAGTAAATCACCTTAGACTGACTGCTTTGGAGAAGAAAACAAAGAGCAGCAGTAGTGAGAAGCAAATTACACTGAAAATAAAATCCCTGTCTTTCACTCACAGCAGTCTGTGACCCCTCCTTCCCAAACTGCAAACCCAGGGTAAATTGCTATGTGCAGCACAAGCCCTTTCTCCTGTCAGGTGCACAGGTTCCCCTTTGCTCTTGTGTTCATATATGTGTATGCCTCTGCACAGGAAATGAACTCTGGGCCTTTAGTGCTTTCAGTAAGGCTAAAAGGATGCATTTTTTTCCTACTCTTAAGCTGTATTTTGGTGCTCTTGCTGCGAGCTGTGCATCTTCTGCTTCTTGATAGAAGAACTATCCTTGGATCAGAACCAGTTACTATAATTTGCCCCAGTGCCTTGCATAACAGGAGCTCAGAAGGAATAATCTCCCATCTGCAATTTTCATCTTGTTTCATTTCTCTCTCTGCAGCCAGACCACCGGTCTCTGCACCAGCAGAAGAGGTACAAATTAGTAGGTAGCATTTGTGTCATGTCTTGTTCACAGATCTGTCAACAGAGTCAATGTGCTGTAGTGCTGCTGCTGGGAAGAGCTGTTTTGCAGAGAGGCGAGTGCCATCGTCTGGTAGAGAGCATGCTGGGGTTGAAGGTGTAAAAAAAAAGAAAATAAATAAATAAAAGCTACCGCCAAAGCTGCACCGGGCTCATCCGGCAAAGTGTCACCTTATCAAGAAGCCTATCAGAAGCGGCTGACATCATTGCAGCTAAAATACTCCCCAGCTGTGTTTCCCACAGGGGATGCTTCCAGAATGGAGCGGGAGTCACGTAGAGATATGATTAGAATGAGGGTTTAATTTAGGTTTCCTGCAGATTCCAGGACTTGGGTCTCTTCCCAGATCAGCTGCGTCCCTGCATAGCAGTGACTGCTGTGCTGATTTTCCCCTGCCTGGTTAGAGAGACAGCGTTTCTGTGTGTCTGAGGTCTCCAGTGACCTCACCCTCAGCCTAACGTGGATATATGGCAGCATTTAGCCTTGTTAGCAGGCATGCAGTAGTCATTACTTGTTAGAAAATTGCCTGTGAAGAAGGCTTAGGCTTCTCCCTGAAAGGACCGCATTCAGTCTTGCTGTTTAGAGTAGTGACATTGTGATGCTGCTGACTTAAATACCTATTGACTCCAGAGCACAGCGGGAATAGAGGTGCGTGCGTAGTTGGGCTTTGCAAAATGTGCTGCTATAATTAAGTTTCACTCACACATACACTTCTGTGAGGAGGGAGCTTGTATAACAGTATTGTTGGAATGGAGATTGTAAAGGAGAAGCGCCATGCAAAAATAGCATCGTTATCATTAGCTTCCCTTCACTTTATATACCCCTCCCAGTGGTCTCTGGGAACTCATTACAATATTGATGAATCTGTATTTTCAGGCTCCATGCAAACATTGGTTAATTCTCACAGCAATCGAAGGGAAGGGTTTATTTTTAGCGTATACACCAGTGATGTAAACAGGGAGGCAGTACATGGTGCTGCTGTGCTGCAAGCACACGGCTCCTCCTCCCCGGCATCGAGCTCTGCCTCCTGGCTCACCCTTGCCTCCTTGCACATCCAACCCTCATCCAGGTACCTGGAAGAAGAGTAACCCCCTTGAAGCTGCATGCCTTTTCAGGGAAAGCACTGGCCCTAGCCCATGAGGGGGGCTTGGGAGCCCCTTGACTGCATCCCTACTGTGCTTTAGCGAGAAATGAAATAAGTTGCGAATGGATCAGAATCCAAGGACCTCGCTTTGCTCTGTGCAATTTCTATTCCTCTGGATTCAGGTTGCCTGAAAAAAGAAGACCTGGATCTCGTTGTAATTTCAAATGTTATTCCTGTAATAACACGCACATCGTTTTGCTTGTCCTTTCTTTTGTTGCTAGGAGCAAGCGGAAGGAAGCTAGGGATTCACCCGTTAAGGTCAGTACACACAGGAGATGCAAGATAAGGTTGCATTTCGGCGCTCTTCCACCACTGAAGTTCAGTTGCTACCTGCTGCTGTGGAAAAAAATCTGTAATAGTCAGGTCTGCCTAAGAAAGCTGACATACAGCTTAAAAAGAAAAGATGAACATCCAGTTTATAACCTTTCCCTTTAATTTTAAACAGAATCACAGGCATTAGAGATGGAAAAGTCCTGTTAGACCATCTAGTTAGTCCCTGGCAGTTTAGTGTATAGTTTCTGTGGAGCTTCATCCCGTTTAGCCCTCCATTTCTATCTCTGCATGCACACAAACCAGTCACTTTGTCTTTTGCTCAGCTTTCTACTTTTCATCATTTGTGGCGCTGTCGCAGACAAAAAAGAGGGAGCGTTTGGCTCCGCTTGCTGCTGCGGGTGGAGACCGCAGCCTGCCTCGCGCTCGTGTGATCCCGGCAACTTTGTTCGCCAGGCGCAGGGCAGCGGCGCTTTGTTCCCGTGGATGGCAGGGATGCCGTGTTCCCCGCTCAGATGTGTGTTACTGAATTCGGGGGAATGCAGCGGGTAAGGGCTCGTGTGCTAAACGAGCCAGCCAGCAGAAATGGCCTCCCTTGAGACAAGGAGTCTCCTGGCCGCGGGATCATGGAGCTCGGGGAGCTGGAGCTGGCCAGCCTTGATCAAGCACAGGGTTTATTTGCCCGAGTGAGAGCAGGCTCAAGCGGGGCTGGATGCATCATGGTGGGATGTGCGAGGCCTTGCTGCCACCCTCCTGCATCCCAGCCCCGGCCGCGCATTGTGCCGGGTGTCCCTGTGGCAGGAGGCACTACCTGCAGCCCCATGGGTCCCTCCAAGCAAATCCACTCTTGGGAAGGTTAGATGGGGCATGGGGGTGGTGGGGACAGTGGCGTTAGGAGCCCAAAAATCCCTGGGTAAGCGAAGTCAGGTGGGACCCAGGCACTGCAGGGTCTTCCTTCTGGAAGAGGAAGGGAAGAAGCCACAGGAAAAGGCAATCACATGGACTGTACCTTTTCCATGCAAAAGTTATTATTTCAGCACAGGACAGGGAAGCACTCAGAGGTGAACACTCTTCCTCCACAAGATTTTTCCCCATGGGATCAGACAGGTTCACAGGTCTCAGAAGTGTCCTTCCTACCTGTCCCATGTCAAGAGGAATTTATCCCTTAGCAAAGGAGGTGAGGTCTTTTACCCTGCAAAAGCACTGGGGTCTTGGACCTTCCCGTGTGGAACCATCAGAAGGCAAAGGTTTCTCTTTGCAGGCCTGTTTGAACCCTCTTCTCTCAAGGCTGCATGTCATGCTTTTCCCAGGGGCTCCTCTCCTGTCTATGTTACTCTCTCTGAAGAGGGGAGAAGTGAAAATATATATGAAGTATGGCTGCCCAATGCCTGCCTATTTCCTGTGCTATTTGGCAGCCCTCACCACTGAGACATTCCCCCATCTGTGGAGGGTCCCCGCTGTCATCTTTTGTGCTGCACGCTGTCCTGCTCTGGCTCTGTTCCTGTTGCTTCATGGGCCCTTGAGGAAGTTGCTGAATCCTTTTACCTGTCCTCTTTCCTCCTGTTGACTTAAGTGGAAGGTGAAGGTGCCCACCACTTCCCAGGATTGGGCTCGGAGAGCATAGCATGGAAAGAGGTGAATGGTATAAAGAGGGGTTATTTGATGTTCTCACCGTCTTAATCATCTGTATTCTGAAAAGGGAGCTTGTAAAAGTAGTTAAAATATGTTTTAGTAAGAGCCATATTAGAGCAGTAAGAGCCAACAGGGAAAAATTTTGCCTCCCCCAAGGCGTGGAGCAAGGAAGAGGACAAGCATGTACAGCCTTGCAGGCTCCTGAGTTTCCTAACCCTTTTGCTTTTCATGGATTTTGATTGCGTGAAGTAGTCTGGCTGGTTTGGGAGCCGAGGGGGATCTTTCAGCACCCACAGCAAGGTGCTGTGCAGCAGGGAGCTCCACCACTTGATTGCACGTTGTTCCCAGCACTTCCTTTGGTTTGCTCTGACCTGCCGCTCCTGGTTTCATCACTTTTTAATAACAGCAGAGGAAAAAGACCTAACTGGAAGTTGCATGTTTGCACTGATTGAAATACGGTTTGTACTAACCAGTTTTATTAGGCAGTTTTTGTTTTAGAGCTTGCTAGACGGGTTAGAGGAGCGAGTCCCGACACTCAGGTTCTGTGTTGCTCCGCAGAGGAGCGGCAGGGACGGCTCCTCCTGTGCCTCCCGTTGTCCCACAGGGGTCATTTCCAGTATGCATTTCTGGAGCAGTCTGGATTGCATTCCTTAAGTCCCAAATTGGACTGAGAAGTGATAAATCGATGCAGACAAATGCAGGTGTTCAGGGACTGCTTGGAAGCATTTTGGGTGTTTTCACTAGCTGTTTTTAAAAAGCAGAAAAAGAGAAGGATCTCTGCAGTAGAGCCCTAGCTTGCTTACAGAGGGACCAGCATTTTGATTTCTTTCTTTCTGGTCTTAATAGTTGGAAAAACACAGAGACAAGTTGCAAATCCTTTTCTTTCTCTCATACAATAATGGCAACAAGATATTGCAGGGAGGGATCAATTCTAAAATTGATTTTTCATGTTTTAATGCAGTGGTCCTCCAGGAAAAAATGGATACAGGGGGATTTTTACTGAATTTCCACAGTTAAGAGGTCTTTGACTACTTATTGCTCAATAATCAGAGAGGGAACCCATTTTGAATTGATAGATACATGTGAGACTGGATCATGGAAATCGTAGCATTTTACTGTCTTTATTATTTGGCGTTGTTCATGGTCACGAGCAGTTCTGGGGTTTGTTTCACTGACTGACAGTTCAAGGAAGTGTTTTGTATGTCGCGCAGGAAGGAGTGTAACATGTGGAAGCACATTCACCTCAAGAGGTACTCGTGTGTCAGCGACGATGGTGCACGCCAACATGTGAATCACAGAGGAACAAATAGCTTTTGACAGCGAGGGGAAAGAACATTAAAAGAAAAAAGTAGGAAGGAAGAGAAAGAGGGCAGAAGTAGCAGTATCAAAGGAGGACTCTGTGCCTGCCAGATAACCCATGATGAGAGGACCTGTGGCTCCAGGTAGAGAGCAGTTTTGCCAGAGTCCTTTGGAGATGGAGGATACTCTCCAGTTAGGGCCCTTCCAGAGGTGTGTAGGTAGTAGGAGCCAACTCTGAGGAGATGTTTCCACAATTCTTAGTCTGGGAGAGTTGCTGTCCAATGACATGAAGTAATGAGGCTGCTTGGGTTGCCTACCCCAACTTTATTTATGGGAGCACAAACCAGGCCTAAGAGTCAGGCGCCTTTCCAGTGCATGTAACCGGCTGCTGGCAGACTGTGGATCAGAGTAAAGGTTAATTTGACATACACTGATTCATGAAGGGGGAGGGTATCTTGTGCCTCTAAACTGCTCCCCTTGAAAGTCCTTATATAGTGGTGGTAGGCGGAGTATCAAGGGAATAGCTGGAGTACTATTCATTGGCTTGATCTTATAAGTGTGTGTCAGATATTTATAGACATGTTAAGTTTCTTTGAATAGAATGAACATTTCCATAAGCTGTAATTGCCTGCCCGTGCCTGGCATGGGTGGGAGCAGTCAGAAGTACAGTCACAGTGTGGGAGCCTCCTAGCTCTGAAGGCTCCGTCTCTGCATATGGGTCATCCTTGAGCTGGAACCAGGTGGGCTCTGATGGGAGCTTCCTTGGGCCCTGTGTGCAGGGCGAGTGTATCCAGCATAGGGACATGGAGGTGACGGCACAGGAGCCCTCAGGGCACCTCAGCGCTGCAGGAACTCATATCCGTGTTCGTGTGGTTGCTGAGTCCAGCCACCTCCTCAAGACAGGCTGTGCAGCTTCGTCCCGAGAGTCCTGCTCGCCCTTTCCTGAGCAAAGCTGGTTGAACACAGGAGCATGATGTGTATCTCAAACCACTTGGGCTCATTAGTATTACAATATATTTTTAACAATACAAATCCACAATTGGCTTGGCAGCCTTATTCATTCCCAAGCGTGAGAGGTGGTTTTGCAAGCCTGCTGTGATAGCTCCTTCAAACAAATCCCTGTTCCCTAGAGAGGGGGGCCCTTTAGACAGCTGGTACATTCTGTGCATGCTGAATGGCTTAGAAACAAGGTGAGAAAGCTGTGTGTGCATCACTTCGGTGTTCTCCTGCCTTTAGCCTCTACCAAGCACAGGCTAAATAGGTCTCTGTGAATCACACAAGCCTTCATCTACCTCCTGCCCCTGCAGGCAGATACCACACAGCGAGCAGCAGGCTGCTCACGTGCATAAAGATAAGCAGGTGCTTAGGTGCTTGGTGATGTCAGGACCTCAAGGCCCAACATTTGCAGTGTCAAGGAAGAGTCAGCAGCCCATGCTGGTCTGTTCTCCTGGTTATAGCAACTTCCTGTAAGCTGGTCAGATACCTTCATAACCATGTGGATTCTTAAACTGGGGTGAAGTTTGAACTGCGTGCAGGAGAGGGAAGATAAAAAGGAAGTCCTCTTGCTAATCAAGTGGAAATGAACTTGACTGCAGAGCTTAGGCGAGGCTGGCAGAGAAGGCTGAACAGCAGACACCACCAAGCTGTGCCTTGGGTGTTGGAGTGTCAGAGCCAGAAGAGGCACTCTCTGAAGGCAGGGGGGTGGGAAGGAAGGCAGCTTTCCAAAGAGGGTGCGTGAAGAGGCAGGGAGCTGGAGTGGTTGCAGGACGGCTTGGGGAAGGTGGGCTCATGCCTGCTGCTGTTACAGAGGTCCACGTACACCCATGGGCTCACCCCGCAAAGCAACACGTCTTCAGCCGCTGCGTACAGATCGACGTGTGCTCAGCTGGAGGAGTTCATGGGGGGCTGACGCCTTCCCGCGGGCTGTGAGGAAACCGGGGTCAGAACTGGGAGGAGAGGCAAACCCTTCCCGCCTCACGGACCTGCCCCGGAGGCATCCTTGGGTTGGAAGGTACCTGAGATGCAGGTGACAGGGGCTGGGTAGCGTAGGAGCCATGGCGGTGAGCCGCGTGTTTCAGACGCCTGTTATGTATCACTGAGCAGCCAGACACAGGCAAAGATGAATCCCTGTTGAGGCTTTGAGCTCCAAGTGCTGAGCTCCAAGACACTCTCAGTACCCGTGCAACAAGGAGGAGCATGCAGCCGTGTGCACCGGTGCAGTCGGAAGTGCGCGGTGCTCTCACAATGTGCTGCTCTGTTCCCCCCTCCAGGCACGAGCACTGTGTGCAGAGCCTGGCGTACCGGCCAAGAGCTGATCTCATGCTCTCTCTCCGTTCTCTCTCCCTGTGTTGTCCCCCTCTCTTCCTGCAGGTCAGCGTGGAGGTCTTGCTAGAATACCCTTTTTTTGTATTTGGACAAGGCTGGTCATCCTGCTGCCCGGAGAGGACCAGCCAGCTCTTTGATTTGCCATGTTCGAAACTCTCGGTGGGGGACGTCTGCATATCGCTGACGCTCAAGAACCTGAAGAACGGCTCTATTAAAAAGGGCCAGCCCGTGGATTCAGCTAGTATCTTGCTGAAGCATTCAAAGAATGACAGTCTAGCTGGAAGTAGACACAGGTATGCGGAGCAGGAAAACGGGATTAATCAGGGAAGTGCACAGATGTTAGCTGAGAATGGTGAACTGAAGTTTCTGGACAAAATAGGATTGCCTGCAGCACCTTTGCTCACCAAAACAGAACCCAGCAAGCCCCCGGCGACGCGGAAGAGGAGGTGGTCAGCCCCCGAGACACGGAAACTAGAGAAATCCGAAGAGGAGCCACCTTTGACTCTTCCCAAGCCTTCTTTTATTCCTCAGGAGGTGAAGATTTGCATTGAAGGTCGATCCAATGTAGGAAAGTAAAAGTTGTTTGGGGAAAGGAAATTAGGCTATCCCTTGTCATTTTTATCCAGATTACTGTACTGTAGACTAAATAACCCAGTATTTACATGTTATCATCTTATTTTAGGTTTATGTTATAACCTTGTTGTTATAGTTGCAGCTGGTATTATGCAGGAGACTGGTGCATATGTTTTTCCACAAGTGTTTTGTCAGTGACTAGGTTTCTCGAGAGCTGCAGAAGGGGCAGTATCTGCTTCACGCACCCTTAGTGGAAATGAATGTGTCGTCCTGGCTCCTGTTTGCTAACACCTCGCGTGGAACAGGGTCCAGCTGTGGTTTTGTTTCCTTCTCTTTTTGTTGTTGGGTTTCTCTGTCTGTCTGTCTGCGTGTCTGCTTGTGCGCCGGCCTCGGGAGCGGATCCCGCCGCGGCCGCGCGGGGCG